ATGCTGCTTGGCCTGCTGTGTTCATCCAGCCCTGCACCTTGTTGTCTGAGAAGATGGACAGGTTGTGTCAGGTCAGGGAGGTGGGGATGAGAGGGAGGGTTGTTCATTGGATGAGGCCGGGGTGGGGAGATTTTGAGATAGTAGGAACTGCAGATGCTGGAGAATCTGAGATAACAAGGTGTAGAGCTGGATGAACACAGCAGGCCAAACAGCATCAGAGGAGCAGGAAAGCTGACGTTTTGGGCCTAGACCCTTCTTCAGAAATGGGGGGGGCGAAGGGGGTTCTGAAATAAATAGGGAGAGGGGGGAGGCGGATAGAAGATGGATAGAGGAGAAGATAGGTGGAGAGGAGACAGACAGGTCAAAGAGGCGGGGATGGAGCCAGTAAAGGTGAGTGTAGGTGGGGAGTTAGGGAGGAGATAGGTCAGTCCAGGGAGGACGGACAGGTCAATGGGGTGGGATGAGGTTAGTAGGTAGGAGATGGGGGTGGGGCTTGAGGTGGGAGGAGGGGATAGGTGGGAGGAAGGATGGGTTAGGGAGGTGGGGACGAGCTGGGTTGGTTTTGGGATGCGGTAGGGGGAGGGGAGATTTTGAAGTTTGTGAAGTCCACATTGATACCATTGGGCTGCAGGGTTCCCAAGCTGAATATGAGTTGCTGTTCCTGCAATCTTCGGGTAGCATCATTGTGGCACTGCAGGAGGCCCTGGATGGACATGTCGTCTGCGGGATGGGAAGGGGAGTTGAAATGGTTCGTGACTGGGAGGTGCAGTTGTTTAGTGCGAACGGAGCATAGGTGTTCTGCAAAGCGGTCCCCAAGCCTCCGCTTGGTTTCCCCGATGTAGAGGAGGCCACAACGGGAACAGCGGATGCAGTATACCACATTAGCAGATGTGCAGGTGAACATCTGCTTGATGTGGAAAGTCTTCTTGGGGCCTGGGATGGGGGTGAGGGGGGAGGTGTAGGGGGAGGTGTAGGGGCAGGTGTAGTACTTCCTGCGGTTGCAGGGAAAAGTGCCGGGTGTGGTGGGGCTGGTGGGGAGTGTGGAGCGGACAAGGGAGTCCCGGAGAGAGTGGTCCCTCCGGAAAGCAGATAAGGGTGGGGAGGGAAAAATGTCTTTGGTGGTGGGGTCAGATTGCAGATGGCGGAAGTGTCAGAGGATGATGAGTTGAATCCGGAGGTTGGTGGGGTGGTACGTGAGGACGAGGGGGATTCTGTTTTGGTTGTTATTGAAACTGGTCAAGTGCACATGACCAGGATCTCCGTGACCAACCCTCCCTCTCATCCCCGCCTCCTTGACCTGACACAACCTGTCCATCTTCTCTCCCACCTATCCGCTCCTCCCACCTCTCTGACCAATCCCCACCACTCCCTACCTGCAATCACCTATCAGCATTCCACCTACCTTCCCCAGCCCCACCCCTCCGCTCTATTTCTGAGCTCCCTTCCCCCTCCCTCATTTCTGAAGAAGGGTCCCGACCTGAAACATTAGCTTTCCTGCTCCTCTGATGCTGCCTGACCTGCTGTGCTCCTCCAGCTCCACACTGTGTTATCTCTGACTCCAGCATTGGCAGTTCTTACTATCTCAGACAAATTGTTAAATGACCTACCAAAACAGAAGTTGCTGGAAAAGCTCAGCAGGTCTGACAGCATCTGTGAAGAAAAATCAGAGTTAATGTTTTGGGTCCAGTGATCATTCCTTTGAACTGAGGAAGTTCTGAGGAAGAGTCACCAGACCCGAATTGTTAACTCAGATTTTTCTTCACAGATGCTACCAGACCTGCTGAGCTTTTCCAGCAACTTCTGTTTTTGTTCCTAATTATCCGCAGTTCTTTCGGTTGTTAAATGACCCAGCCTGCTCACAATTATTATTCAGCTTGAGCCACCTTAAAACATATTTAAGTCAATTAAAAATGTTATCTGCTGTGCTCACTTGTACCTTCTTTTTGTCATATAGACCATGGTTGTCCAGTATCATGTTTTTCTCATGGCTGGTGTATCTTCTTAAGTCACGTTCAAACTGCTAAATAAATAACAAAATTGGAACAAAAATTACTACAACGTATTAAAAGTTTAATATCAAAGCTTGCAAAGTCAGTAACAGAAAAGTTGACCAAATGAACACATTCGTTCACCAGCAAAAATCTTTAAAATGTTTCTCTGATAGTTCACGTTTGGAATATCCTCCATCATGCTGTGCAGCAGTATCATTTTGCGCAACGGGATAGATTTCAAACAGATTTAGCAACTCAAGACTGGGCATCTACGCGGCGCTGTGGGCCATCATTAGCAGAATTTTACTACAACACAATATGTAACCTTGTGGCCCGGCATAACACCCACTACCATCAAGACCAGGGTCCAGTCCTGGTTTAACAAAGACTGCAGGGGCATAAGCCAGGAGCAGCGCCAGGCATTGGTAAAAATGAGGTGTCATCTGCTGAAGCAACAACACAGCACTATTTGCAGATCAAACAACGAGGTGACCTTATAGAGGCTTATAAAATCATGAGGGACATAGATAAGGTGAATAGCCAAGGTCCTTTTCCAAGGGTAAGGGAGTCTAAAACTGGAGGGTGTAGTTTAAGGTGGGAGGGGACAGATTTAAAAAGGATCTGAGAGGCAAATTTTTCACACAGAGGGTGGTGCATCTATGGAATGAGCTGCTGGGGAAGTGGTAGTGGTGGTAACAGTTACATCATTTCAAAGACATTTGGACAAATACGTGAAAAGGAAAGGTTTAGAGCGATATGAACCAAACACAGGACTAGTTCAGTTTAGGATAACTGGTTGGCATAGACGAGTTGGACCAAAGGGTCTGATTCCGTGCTGTATGACCCTATGACTCTAACACCAGCCAACAAGCCAGATCTAAGCTTTCCAGTTCTGCCATACATAGTTATGAATTGTGGTGAACAATTAACAACTTACTGAAGCAGGACACTTACAAATATCCCAATCCTCAATGATGGGGATAAGGCCAAAAAGTTTGCAACAATCTTCAGCCAAAAGTATTGGCTGGATGATCCATCTCAGCCTCCAACAAAGCTAACCAACATCACAGATGCCAGTCTTCAGCCAATTTAATTCACTTCACATATTTTAGAGAAACGGCTGAAGGCACTTGATACTGCAAATGACAATTTTCTGGCACCTGTACTGAAGACTTATGTTCCAGAATTAACTATGCCCCTAGCCAAGCTGTTCCGTACAATGTACAGTACTATCCAACACTGTGGAAAATTGCCAAGGTGTGTCCTACACATACAAAAACAACAGGACAAATCCAGTCAGGCCAATTACCACCCTACCAGTCTATTTGATCATACCATAAAGTGATGAAAGAGTTCAATGTAATCATCAACAATGAAAAAATGCATGAACTATACTTTCTGTTCATTTTTAAAAGACAGCAAGAAGCTGTTTAGTGATAGGAGATCCAACAGAGTCCGTTACAAAGACGTTGAACCTGCTGCAAGTCATTTAAGCAGCCAAACAGTAATATCCTGAAAGGGAGAGAAGGACACTCCCCAGCTTATTCCAATTTCAAGCTCAACTGAGAACTAAATTCTTGAGAAATTTGACTACAGCAGGCCTTGCAGCTTCCTAAGAATCCTTTACATTACAAGAATGTCACCCTAGGTAAAGCATACATTTATCTAAGGAACTACAAGTCTGTCACAAAAGAAAAACAAAGACAATTATGCTCTGCAATTGCTTTGTCCTTTTTCTCAATCTGCTTCCATTTGAGTGAGTGATTATGTCAGACAAATGAGTTAGATGTCACATTTATAAACCTCAAGAGCAAGTAGGGGTTATTAAAAAAAATTCTTTATTTCAAAACACTCAATAAAAACAACTTGGAAACATTCAATTTGGGACACACTAAAGGTAAGAAAACACTCAGGCCTCATATGCAAAACTCATTGATCCCTGGAAGTAAGAAAATACATATTTTCTGTCTGTGACACCCAAAACATGTTTAAAATTAATGGCTTAATGCTTCCACTGAATAGTAGAGATTGTGCAAACACCTCTAAGTATTCAAAGCAGGTGAGTTTTTAGGCTTTGTTATCACTTGGAAACAAAAGCACCTTCAATACATTTAGTGATAGTGATATATTAAGGATATTGTTGAATATTATCCATTGTGAACTCAGTTGCAACTAGCTAGGGTTCATAAAGAGTAGTTTTAGCAGTTTTAGCCTTTTTTGGATTAAATTCCTAGAAACATGCAGAAGCTGTATCTTTTTAAACTGCAGCAGATGTTATAGATCAGATAGCATAAGAACAGTATGGAACAAAACACAACTGGAACAAGAACAGATGCCTCATTAAATCAATGCTGGTGCTCAGACAAATATCAAGAAGTCTTGAAAATTTGGGATTGGGCTACAATGGGCAGGTAACCAATTTCATTTTTGCAAAGAAATGCTCCAGTAACCCTTGCTCAGCAAACCATGATTAAATCCAAATTTGATCTTTGGAATACAAATGCCAGAATAAAAGCAGCTTGTATTGATTAGCATTCACATGTGCACAAATGTATAGAACATTGCTGCCATTATGTATAGACCATTTGGACAGATGCCAAATACCAAATGAAGTTATTTTGCACTGGTATTAATTTTGTTTAAGCTCTAGCAACTCTCATAGAACTGCTGTAGTTACAATGTTATGGTAGATGGAGCTTAGATATATCCCTTCAAGAAATCAATGGACTGCACAACATTTGGCCATACTGCATCACTTCCATTATTAGGTGAGTTGTGTAGAATTGTAATAAAGAGAAGAAAATGAGGAAAGTATAATTGTGTTTCCCTCGACTTTCTGAGGCATAGGTTGCATCTTAGAAAGAAAGCATTAGCATTTATAAGGTACTATTCATGACCTTAGCACACCTCAAAGCCCTTTACAGTTAATGAAGAACGTATGAAACACAGGCCATGCTGTCACGTAAGAAACAAGTCAGCCAAAGTATGCACAGTAAGCTCCCCAAAACAAAAATGTGATCATAGCCAGATAATCTGTTTTAGAAATGTTGATTGAGGAATGGATATTGGCTGTGCATCAGGGTTGCGCATCAGGGTGAAATCCCACGTTGTGATCCAGTACCATGGGGTATTTCGTGATCACATGAGAAAGAGAGGACCTCACTTTAATGTCTTAAAGGCAGCATCCCCAATAGGGCAGTGCCCCTGCATATTTAACAATTCAACAATACTAGTTTTAGCATCTGACAAACGTTTTATTGTGAACAAATGATGGTGAAGCAGTTCCTCAGGTTGGCTCTTGCTTTGCCTGTGTTGTCTTTCAATTAATGCAATACGATTCCTGATTACACATGACACCAGTGTAGTAGGAGCACTTCTGAGGAATTACCTGATAAATATTTGCTTCAGTCAAAAAGTTCAAAACAGGTCAACCACAAGAGAGAGCAATCTAATGTTAACATCAACTATGCATCTGATGCGAAGAATCTCGGTGAAGATTTTTCAGATGGCAGGATTTTGATTCCCTCCGCCTGAAGAGTCAGCAATATCTCCCCACTGATACTGGTCTTTAATGAAAACAGCTAATAAATCAAGGAGTCTTAACTGGCCAGAAACAGGACTTTTGTCCCCAACTCGGGAGAGTTGAATGTCAAGGTGAATGGCTGGCAGCTTAGTATTCCCAGCAGTGCCAGTAGCCAGGACTGGGATTACAAGCAGTTTCTGGATTCTAAGTCCCAGTGTCTAGGAACAGGTCACTGCAAGTGGACTCATGTCCAGAGTAGGTGTTGGGGGGTGTTGCTGGAAGGTGAGGCACAGTGAGGTGCAGAGAGATGGAAAGGCCAATAGGCTGGGAGCACCCCTGCAGTGGGGGGTGTTGTGAGAGACTGACCTTTAGGGAGAGGCATGTCTCATGTGGAAAGAAGCCCATTGAAGGAGATGGGCCCCACTCTGCCTGCACACATCCTGAGCAAGGTAGCCCTTTGGGCATCTACCCTCCTCCTAACCTGTCTAACATTTGGGTGAGATGTGGCCCTTAAGTAGTCATCAATTACCCAATTACAGGCCTTAATTGGGGTAAGGGCAAATGACATTACAAACAGATTGGGACAAGGGTGAGGGTAGTGGGAAATCCATCTTGGGGATTTTAGCAGGGATTGATTAAATTCTGTACAATGTCTGCATTGTTAATAATTCGAAATGAGCCTTCATTGAATGTCGCCTTATTAGTTCTTCTCATGCATTCTCAGCACAGTGGAACATGGAACACGTAAAGTCTGATACAAGCACATCTCAGACTCAAGAGAGTCAGAGGGTAGAAGTGAGTGTAATGGCCATCATTAAGGAGAAGATGCTGAAGACTCTGAAGGTGGATAAATCACCCAGACTGGATGGAGGTAGCTGAGAAGATTGTGGAGGTGTTGGTGATGGTCTTTCAGGAATCACTAGAGTCAGGGAGGGTCCCAGAGGACTGGCAAATAACTAATGTAATACCCCTGTTTAAGAAGGGAGGGAGGCAGAAGACAGGAAATTATAGGCTCGTTGGCCTGACCTTGGTCATTGGTAAGATTGTAGAGTCCATTATTAAAGGGTGAGATTGTAGATATGTGGATGTACATAGTAAAATAGGGCTGAGTCAGCACAGCTTCATCAAGGGGAGGTCATGCCTGACAAATCTGCTAGACAAAAGAGAGCCAGTGGACATGATCTATTTGGATTTCCAGAAGGCCTTTGGCAAGGTGCCGCACAGGAGTCTGCTAAATAAGAACCTATAGTTTTAAGGGTAAGGTACTGGATGGGTAGAGAAATGGCTGACTGGAGGGGGCAGAAAGTGGGGATAATGGGGGTCTTTTTCAGAATGGCAGCTAGACACTATTGGAGTTCCGCAGGGGTCAGTGTTGGGACCACAACAATTCACATTATACATTAACAATCTGGATGAAAGAACTAAGGGCATTGTTGCTAAGTTTGCAGATGATACAAAGATAGGAGAAGGGACTGGTAGTATTGAGGAAGCAGGAAGGCTGTGGGA